CAAGACATGGGTGTCAAACCTAGGTCCTTCGCTATTGTGTGCACTGGTCTTCTCAGGCTTGATCTGCAGTACAAGCGTTAGAAAAAGAAACAAATACAAACCTGGGTGTTGAACCCAGGTTCTTCTCCTGCATATACACCTGCAAGTTTGATCAAACACTGGATCGAAACAGATCCCAAGACCCTACCCTATGCATGATCATTTCCTAAACTCAAATATGGGGTTAAAACTAGCACAAGATCTTTATACCACCTAGTTTGAAGCATGGCTGCTTTGAAACCTTAAAATGGCACCCTGTACTTCCACACTTATATTTGTATGAATGATCAATAAGAACACAAAGATGCATATAAAAACAATTCAAATAGTAATCGAAAGGCTGTGACCCAGAATTTTACCAAGGACTAGTGGGCTTGATGCGTGACTTTTGGATAGTGCTTGGGAACACTTCCTGCAGACTTTAGGGAGTGAAAAGAGTGTTGCTGAAGACTCCTTCGATTGGGACCACTTATGAGGATTTTGATAGCTTTGGGGTGGTTTACTGAGGAAGTGTATGCGTGTGGCTCTTTGAGGCAATTTTTCTGTGTGTTTTTTCGTGTCTTGTAATGTGTCACTGGCCTTGTATTTATAGGGGTGTGAGGGTGCATGAAAATGGCAAGGGACAACCATTTAACCAGGCCATTAAAGCCATGAGACAAGAATCAAACACATTAAAATATTTCCTTTTTTGAAGTATTCATGTCTCTTTGGAATCTGGAATGAACCTGGACACTTTTGATCTTCGAATGCCTTCAGGCCCTGCTTTTCAATTGGTCTTGATTCGAACAGAATCACTCTGGTCGAATCAGCTCTTTAGGAACAGAAAAAGGCAAGAATATGGCCTTTAACTCAGGAATTAAATCCACAATCAGCATTTAATTATTTCTATATTTACAAGGGAAACATGCCATTTTCTCAAGTTCAGTGTACCTGAACATGTTTTTTGAGCGCCCTCTTGATGGCCTCTTCCAAATGGCCTAGAAGGAGCTCTTCAAATGACCCTTTTCCAAATATCAATCGAAGGATTCCAATCGAAAGGCTTTGTTAACAGGCCAATCGAAAGGTGATGTTCATGCTAATCAAAGGACATGGTTAACATGCCTGTCGAAGCTGCCTTGACACAATGCTAAATTGAAGGATCCCTTGGCATGCCAATTGAAAGGCTTGCCCCAGGGTGCCAAACGAAAAGGTCTTTCAGAATTCCAATCGAAGGCCTTGACATAATTCCAAACGAAGTGCTTGTCCATACTGCCAATCGAAAGGCTCCTTCAGAATATCAATCGAATGGTCTTTCAGAATGCCAATCGAAGGCCTTGACATAATGCCAATCGAAGTGCTTATCCATACTGCCAATCGAAAGGCTCCTTCAGAATACCAATCGAAGGGTCTTTCAGAATGCCAATCGAAAGGTACTTAAAGCATCACTCAAAAATTTTCTTTTTCCTTAGGCAAGGGTTTCTGGTCAACCATGCAGGTGGAAAACTTTGGGAAACATGAGAGGGCAAATTTTGGGGTACAACACACCCCCATGTTTTTTTATTTACTTATTATTTTACTATATATATATATATATATATATATATATATATATATATATATATATATATATATATATATATATATATATATATATATATATATATATATATATATATATATATATATATATATATATATATATATATATATATATTCTATTTTATATATATTTAAAATATTTAATGTTATTTAATATTACATTTATAATTCAAATAGTATTATTTTCCAAACTAATAAAAATTATTTACTATTTAATTGCATTAAAATTGATTTTTAGCATGCATTAATAAAACATTATTTACAATTAATACCATAAAACATATTCAACCAAACACAAAATCATTTTCAAAAATCGAATTAATTCAATAAGCAATCTTCAAAAAAGGTTACGATTATATTTAAATTAACCGCGCGTTTTATCCAAAATCTCCGGTCTTAACACACTCGGACAAAGTACGAAGGGAACTAAAATATCTGTGTAATCTATAAAAAACACCAACCAACAGCCACGAACTATGAAATGGGACTCTGATTCCTCCTAAGAGGATACGTAGGCATACGATCAAAAATCGTGGCGAGTTCCCCTAGTTAAAATTAAAACCCTTTTTCCCTATTAATAATTAAAACCTTATTCCCTAAAGTTTACGCTTCTAAACATAGTATCCTTGCGAACAAGGTAGATGAGGGGTGCCTAACACCTTCCCCTCGTCTAAAATCGAGTCCAACAACCTAGAATCTCTAACTTTTAGAGTTATTCCTTTATATTCCCTTCCTTAGGATAAAAATTAAGGGTGGCGACTCTTTAATAAAAACCAGCTGAAACAGCTAGGGACTCAACCCTAGGTTTAGAAGCCACCTCTTTTTAGAGTTTTTCTTAATTATTGGGTTTTTTATTTCTTGCTCATTTAATCATTTATTTTCTGCTTATTTTTTATTATTCATTATATTATTATATTTGTGTTGGGATTTAAAATTTTGCAAAAATATTTTCAAAAACCCTTAGAAAGAAGGTTCGTCTATTAGCCAATGGGTTACATCAGCCCTATGAGTTTATGTGACGAATTCGCCTAGATTCGATGGAATTCCGCAAAAGGAATACTTCTCAAGAGACATCCTCTTGAGAAGTAGGACTTTGGAATCACACCTATGACTCTTTGTACGGCCTTTAAACCAAAAACTTATGATGAGACCTTTCATGACCTAGAGACGCAAGTTTAGGTCTGTAAAGAGGTTCTGCTTAAGGGAGGCCCTTGTGCCTTTCCCTTAGTGTTATTCATGAAACCCTTAAGGAAACCACCTTATGGGGAGGGTATAATATCTGTAGGCTAAAACTAGGAGCCTACCTTCTAAGGATACCTTTCACAAATCCCATCACTAAACCCTACATCCATACATTTATACTTTTTTGCATATCATATGTTTATCCTCCACTTATTTGGTTTAGTATTATTCAAAGTTAAAAAAAATAATAACAAAAGGTTTTGTTGAGTATCTTGAAAAATGGGTACTAAAGGGAAACAACTTGTCCGCTTCAAAGCCATCAAGCCAGATATGTCAAAAATCAAGGCCATAAAAGGAAAATTATCTGAAAGAGCTTTGAAAATGTTCATTCGTCGTTATGGGGATATCCTAGACTTAACCAAAGTAGAGGTACAATTGGATTCCATTTCTACTCTCATTCAGTTATACGAACCTTCACTGAGATGCTTCACCTTTCAAGACTTCCAGCTAGCACTGACTCTGGAAGAATTTGATAGAATTCTGAACTTTCCCGAAGAGAAGGCTTATTGGGTATTGGGAAAATTGTTGAGGCCAAAGTCTTGACAGAAGGTTTAGGGATCCTTTATTTTGAATTATACCTTAATTATAAGAAAGAATGAGACATACGAGGAATTAAGAGAGTTTCCTTAGAAACCAAGGCTTTTGATCTTGCTAATAACAAATAATGAGAGTCTTGTTTCGATTGTTTAGGGTTGCTTATATTCGGTGTAATCTTATCTCCACAGACTGTAGACTATATTGACCTTGCGGCTATTAGCATGTTTTGGGGTGAAAAAGCTTTTAATACAGATCCAACTCCCTCTCTGCTTACTGACATCTATTATACACTCCATACGCGATACGAAAAAAGAAGGGGTACTCTGAATTATTTCATTTCACTATTGTATGTCTGGTTTATGACTCACCTCTACAAGGAAGACTACATGATTCTGAATCTGATAAGGTACGAGTGACCTCAAAAATTAAGGTCTCTTACTGCTAATTATGTATTATGGTATGCAAGGAAGCTGGACATTGGTGATATTATCTTTACTTGCGGGGACTTTCCTAATGCCCCATTGATCGAATCACGAGGATGTATTAATTACAACCCTACCTTAGCCCTGCGACAAATTTTTATTTATTTATTTAATTTTTTTTGTAATTCTATTACCTCATTAAAAATATAATTTACTCGTTATAAACTTCTAAATTTTAATTTGTGCTTCTTTGTCGAAGCTCTGATTTTAGTAAAACCAACACCAAAGTTAATGTATTAGTATCAATAATGTTTTCTTCAATTTAATTTGTGATTGGAAGTCGATTTCTTTAACCTATTCTTTGAAATTGATCTTTTAAAACTAATTTTTATATTTATTTTATTTTATTTAACCATAAATTATCGAATAGAACCAATTGAAAAAATAATGAGTTAATCAAATAGAAGATTCTCGTTTTTTTATTTACAGTAGAGTGTAAAAGCATCAAAATTAGAGGTGTTCGCGGTGCAGATTAGATCAATTATGTGATTAAAATTCATCGGATCAAAGATAAAAGTTAATTTAATTAAATTCATCTAATTAAATTTATTAATCTTTAATTGTACTACATTAACCATATACTTAAATTACCATTCAGTTTGATATCAAATTTTATGAAAATTAAAATAAGTACTTACATAATGTATTTTAACTCTAGATATAGAATAATTATAGGTTAAACACTACATTTTACATTTTAAATCTAGATTTAGATTTAGGATCATTATTATTTCAAGTAAAATATTTTTATTTAATATAAATTAAAAATAATATTTAATATTAATTCCACAATACATACGTAGTGTTGATTATAATATAATTTATTTGAATTAGTTGATAGGTGGTGCACAATTTTCTAAAATAAATGTCTATGTTCATCAAAATCAAACAAATTCCACCACTCAGGCTAAGTGCCACGTATACTAGTCTTTTCATTTTAACTAGCCACTTCAATTTTGTTTATTTTAACACTAGTCAACATGCATGGTACACTATGGCCAAATGTTGGTGTATGTTAATCTTATGGATTTCATTTATTTAGTTATAAATACCTTTTGTTTTAGTGTATTCAATCATCTCATCATCCATAGTAAGCAAAGTGACACATTGGTTCAAATCAATATGGCTGCTACTATTATCAAACTCTTCATGCTTTTGAGAGTTACTTTATTGGCCTCAGTTTATGTTTCTTCTACATTCGATCATGAGAACCTTTTTATCTTTAAGTTTAATAGGTTTCAAACTCTTTATGAGAATGAAAACGGTCGCATTCGTCTTCTCCAAAGGTTCGATAAACGTTCCAAAATATTCAAAAATCTTTAAAATTACCGTATTTTGAAATATAAGTTCAAACCTCACACTCTTTTTCTTTCACAATACAACGAAGCTGACTTCATTCTTATAGTCCTTAGTGGTAATGTGTTACTTATCAATTTATAGGTTATAAATTGATCATCTATAATTTTTTATAAATAAAGATATTTCTTACTTTACAAATTTGTTTTTTTTGAAGATAAATTAAGTTGAAAATAAAAATCTAATCTTAATTTCCATATGCAGGAAAAGCCATTCTCACAGTGTTGAACTCCAATGATCGAAACTCCTTTAATCTTGAAGGTGGTGACATCATCAAACTCACAGCTGGCACCATTACTTATTTAGCTAACCGAGATGACAACGAGGATCTTAGAGTATTAGATCTCGCCATCCCAGTAAATAGGCCCGATCAATTACAGGTAATAAAGTCAGAGTTTACATTTCTCATATTATACATTGTTTGCATGCAACCCCATAAATTTTTTTTAGAGGGATCTATAATAGAATCACCACAACAATTGCGTCTCCATTTTCTAACATTATATTGTAAATTTTTTCTACTCTTACAATTGTTTATTCGTAATTTTTCCCAGTCTTTCTTATTATCTGGAACTCAAAATCAACCATCTTTCTTATCTGGGTTTAGCAAAAATATTCTAGAGGCTTCTTTCAATGTAAGCATGCATCAAACAACCTTTATTCATTATTCATGTACTAGTTTGGTTTACTTCATGTAAATATTCACTTTGTCCTTTTATATATCGTTAAAATGAAAGACAAATTATGAGGAGATAGAAGAGGTTCTTTTAGAAGAGCAGGAACAAGATCCACAACACAGAAGAATCCTTAGGGATAGGAGACAAGAGATCAACAAATAAGATATAATAGTCAAAGTATCAAGGGAACAAATTGAAGAATTGGAAAGAAATGCAAAGTTGAGCTCCAAAATAAGTGTATCATAGAAATCTGAACCATTTAACTTGAGAAGTCGCAATCCTATCTATTCCAACAAATTTGCAAATTCTTTGAGATCACTCCTGAGAAAAATCCACAACTTCAAGACTAAAACATATTTTTCAATTCTGTGGAGATTAAGGAAGTATAGCAAAATTATTTTATAACATATAAAAATAAATTATACAATATTTTAAAATTGTTTTGGGGGATTTGAATTTTGTTTGTTTAAATTATAACATCAAACTCATATCATTAAGTTGACATCTCTTTGAAAACAAATTTGTATAGTTAATATCATGTTTTATTTAGATAACAGAGATCAATAGCTAAATGTTTTTATTCAAATTTAATTTTAGGGATCATTATTGTTACCAAGCTACAATTCAAGGCCATTGTGATAGTAACGGTTAATGAAGGAAAGGAGAATTTGAACTTGTGGGTCAAAGAAATGAGAACCATCAAGAGAAGAGAGAAGAAAATGACAAGGGAGTGGAACAAAAAGAAGAAGAGATAAGCAAACAAGTTCAAAGGTATAGAGCTAGATTGTCTCTCGGTGATGTTTTTGTGATTCCAGCAGGTCATCCATATGCCATAAATGCCTCATCGGATCTCAATCTGATTGGATTTGGTATCAATGTCGAGAACAACCAGAGAAACTTCCTTGCAGGTATATTATATTCTTATTTAGTCTCTTTGTAAATAAAATTATAATTGTGTTCTTAGATTTAATCACATCGTTCATTTTATTTAATTTGTTTTTTTTATTAATTTATATGTATCATAATTGAAAAGATAATGGTATAGTTGATTAAAAAGGGAATTAATATAATATTGAAATTTTTAAAGGAGAAATGACTTAAAATATTTTCCTAAAAAGTGATAATTTAGGAGAAATATAGTAAAGCAAAACTAAAATTAAATTAAATTAGATGTAGAATATATTAATCTATTTTATTTTATTTTATGTGTACGCTAATATGTTTCTTCTACTTGAATAAATGAGGAAATAAACTAATTAAAACAAATACAAAGAAAAATACAAAGACCGGTGAAGGAAATTGTATGTCCTGGATCTTCTAAAGAGATTGACAGGCTCCTAAAGAATCAAACAGAGTCTTATTTTGCAAATGCTCAACCTCTGCAAAGAGAGTAAAAAAACCATCAAATAAGGGATCATCCATCTTCAATTTTGGATGCTTTTAATAAATGAGTAAAGGATGAAATATCATTCCCTTGTAACTATAACTAGAGATCCACTTTTCTACTATAAATAAATAAGTCAAGAATAAATTGTGTACCTCCTCTCAACTAATATGCATTTCTTAGATAATGCTACTCTATGCTACTATAGTTAATTTAATCAAACATAAATGATGGATCACATATTTAAATTATACATGTTTGTCAATAATAATGTATTCTCCTTTACTGTTATTAAGTTCTTTTATGCCCTATATTTTCTTGTGTAATTATTTATAAAACTAGCTTCTCCCTTTGCTTCTGTTTTAAATTTATTTTTTTGTAAGTGATTAAAATTTCTTAGTTTTAAAATTTTTTATTTGATTAAAATTTCTTAGTTTTAAAATTTTTTATTTATCAATCAAATTATTTACATTTTACTAGGACATAAATGAAATAAAATTTTGCAGAATGTGAATTTAATAGGATTAAACTTATTATTTAATTTTTAGCCGATCAAATTCATGAGTTTATAATAAAGAATTTATCTTCTCCTTGCTACTTAATTAATTATGGCATTAAATCCTTCCGAGTCTAAAATTAAGTAATTTCATCTCTTTCAATAAACTTTGAACTAACTTATATTTGACACCAGTAAATGATTGATTATATATAATACATTGTTAATAATATATAAATCTTAAGTCCAACTATCATTCATTAAAACAAATTTAAGCAACTTCACACGGTAAGTAAAAATTATTTAAAATGTTACTCTTTTTTGAGACAATTTATATATAAATTGTTAACTTAATTAGTGAAAAATCCAACATTGTACCTTTTCTATTATTAGTGTTAGATGGCATATATTTAATTTGTTAAAAATTGATTTGAAAAATTCTAACTTAAACATATAAATGTGTAATAAACAATATTAAAATGTGTAACGCAAACATGTTAGGTTTTTTTAAAAATATTTTTGCAAAAACAAAATCCAAAATATACATATCTAAAATGTATGAAATTTACAAATAATTACTTATTTACATTATAAAAAAATACTCTAACCAAAATAATCACTTATTATAACTATCAACATTGGCTTAAATTTTAGTTATAAAAACATTATTTGAATTTGGCTTATTACATATATACTTTAAATAAGATAGAATTAAAATATAACACACTCTCAATTAATGAAAAAATAACAATATAAAAATAGACATTAAACATAAATTAAAATTATATTGAACAATAATATATTTAAAAAATTTTAAACTAATTAAAAATCACAATATAAAAAATAGAAATTAAACATAAATAAAACATTTATATTGAATAATGGTACATTCAGGATTTAAAAACATGAGAAAATTAATGATTGTATAAAGAAAATTCAATTTTTTTAGACTACATCCATGCGTAGCGCGGATGATATTCTAGTTAATAAATAATTTTGACTTGTGTTCAGTTTTTTTTATATTGTCTTTATAACACACAGTCTCATACTTTGATATCTATTGTCCTTTACAACTACAATCCCTCATAAAAAAAAGTGGAACGAAAAAATGCATGTGAAAAATTTACAAGATTATACCAATGCATCCACACCATTGACTTGTTCAAGTGATCAGTCCAATAAGTTCAATTAAAAAAATTGACGCTCACCACATATTAGTAACAATAAAGCTTACAAAGTTTATATTATTGATATGTTTTGACTTAAAATGTTTGATAATATTGAATTTCTTCTCCACCATGAGAGATATATTGGACATGGAGTATTGAAAATTTGACATGGTACATGGTGTGTCATCTCAAGTTATATATATATATATCATTTTTTAGATAATTTTGTATGCTTTTGAATAGTGCTATTTGTTGTGGTATTTTTGTTTGTATTTGATTGATGATAAGTGTATTCATATTTATATTTACTTATTTCTTACTATTAACTTAATCAAAATATATTTCATAAATGCTTCTTCTATGAATAAATTATCATGATATGAATTTTCTTCATATTTACTATAATTTGGTTGTTAATTTAAAATATTATTTTATTTACTTTTTTTTAATTCTTATATAATAATAATAATAATAATAATAATAATAATAATAATAATTATAATAGTATTTTAATGTGAATAGTTTGAAGAACAATATTTTATATATAAAAAAAAATATATAACAAATGAATATATGCATTAGTGATTTGATTTAGAGTTTAAAAAAATTAGTCAATTTAAAAGTGTTTAATTGAATTTGGCCTAAAATAACACAAACAAAAAAATTAAACAAACCCTAAAAAGACAATAACAATAAAGTTAAGGCTAAAAAATAAAAACCGGCCTTCTAAGGATACCATTCACAAATCCCATTACTAAACCCTACATCCATACATTCATACATTTTTGCATGTCATATGTTTATCCTCCACTTATTTTGTTTTGTATTATTCACATAGTTAAAAAAAATAATAACAAAAGATTTTGGTGAGTATCTTGAAAAAATGAGTACTAAAGAGAAACAACTTGTCCGCTTTAATGCCATCAAGTTGGATATGTCAAAAATCAAGGCCATAAAAGGAAAATTATTTGAAAGAGCTTTGAAAATGTTCATTCGTCGCTATGGGGATATCCTAGACTTAACCAAAGTAGAGGTACAATTGGATTCCATTTCTGCTCTCATTCAGTTCTACTACCCTCCACTGAGATGCTTCACCTTTCAAGACTTCCATCTAGCACTGACTCTGGAAGAATTTGATAGAATTCTGAACTTTCCTGAAGAGAAGGCTTATGTGAGTATTGGGAAAACTGTTGACCACAACATTATTTGCAAGATTATACCAATGCATCCCGACCATTGATTTGTTCAAGTGATACGTCCAATAAGTTCAATTAAAAAAATTGACGTTCACCACAGATTTGTGACAATAAAGCTTACAAAGTTTATATTATTAATATGTTTTGACTTAAAATGTTTGATAACATTGAATTCCTTCTACACCATGAGAGATATGTTGTCTAGTATGTGGGAATTTGATGCACATAAATATGTTTGATGATCTAGACTATTGTACTTAAGTTGGACTTGGGGTGTTGAAATTTTTACATGGTACATGGTGTGTCATCTCAAGTTTTATATATATATATATATATATATATATATATATATATATATATATATATATATATATATATATATATATATATATATATATATATATATATATATATATATATATATATATATATATATAATATATATATATATATATATATATATATATATAATATATATATATAACTATCATTTTTAGATAATTTTGTATGCTTGTGACTAGTGCTGTTTGTTGTGGTATTTTTGTTTGTATTTGATTGATGATAAGTGTATTCATATTTATATTTACTTATTTCTTACTATTAACTTAATCAAAATATATTTCATAAATGCTTC